GATACGATTTATCTGATCACGTACCAATTACTAAATGAACGGATGTTTTCCAAAGTCTTTTATTTGATAACGGATGGCTAGTGAAAGAAAATCGTTGAAGTATGATTCCGATGACAGGTCTCGATTTTCAGATCAATGACTGATAGACTGACAGAAAAAACAACATATATGTGGGTTTCTAATTTTGCTCTGACACAGACGAACATATTGATATTTGATATACTTGATCATTTTATTGCAAATATCCACATTACCTAGCTATAAATATGTCATGGTCGTAATTGAGCATCTGATAGGTAGAAAATGTAAAAGAAGGCATCCCCCCACACCTCTACATATAAACTTAGACATCCGGTGGGACGTATAGGTATTATGATAACAACATTGGCAATGGTTTATCTTTGGTTTTGTCAATGTTTGAAAGTGTTTACCCTGCTTTTTATGTCTGTTCAATTGTATAAAATGAGACATATAGACTTAAGCACCCGTGTGGCTTACGGACATGGATATGGCAAATACAGAGCACTCTGAAAGCCATATTGTCATTGTGTTGACCAATCTTCCCGCTTGGCATCTCTTGGGTCCATGATGTAACTACTCAATATATTGAAAGTTCGAATTACAAATTGCCACAAAGCAGGGTGATATTTAGTACCACCCCATGACATTCAAACAATAAAAATCAATTACTTTTGCCCATACTGTCCATATTCTCTCAGTCTGCCTGAAACTGTCCATATTCTCTCAGTCTGCCTGATTGTTATTAAAAATCATCCACAAATAGAGAGAAAATACTCGAAATCATCTCTCTCCTGGGTTCTGGCATTGTGCAGCCATTCCCATATATCCTGCTTCTTTCCACTGTTCAGACTATGAGATGACACGGTTTGAGGGACCACCAGTTTAGGGGCGGGTTTATTTCTTATTTGGTCGTAACTGTCGATGTGTGCTGCCGTCTTGATGTACCTCTTTTCTTTCCGTCTGTGTAACCCGTGTCCAATCTCACTATGGCGTCTGTGTGTGCCGTATTCACTGCGTCGTCGGCTGAGGTCTGTCGTTCGTGTCATCTCGCGCTGTGGTTTTTTGTCGTCTGCCTCATCTTCGTCAGATTCGTGAAATTCCTCGTTGTCTTCCTGGACACTTTTGATAATATTCTGAACTTCTTCCCGTAGTTTTATCACTTCGTCTGGAACCTTCTGTTTCATTGGAAGATATAAGTCAGAGCGTTGCTTCTTTTTGCTAATATGAGCACCAGTCCTAGGAATAAGTTTCAAGTAGTCTTGTCGAAATTTCTCAGAATCAGAATTAACCTGCACCTCCATGATGGGTCTAGATTTGTCCAGTCTGTTAGACCAAGTATTCGGGCGTAACAGCACCTTTGATGCACTATTGACCAACTCATCGTTGTAATCTTTGACTGGGTGGGAGTAAAACGGCTCTCGGAACATGGCGCGCAGGTCAGTGCGGTAATGATTGTCCACCGAGTTTCTTCCCCTGTCGTTAGGCAGCAGGTACGTTATCCCGTGACTGACCCTGCTTCTAGCCATAGCGTCCTTCATCTTGGTCAGTGGCGGGAGATCTGGACACTGGTACTCGTGGGTGTCTAGATTGCCGCGTTCGTCCTGGCTGTCCTCCTCCAACGCCTCCATGAACCGGACCTTGGACCAGAACTTGCCGGACGCCGCTCGTGAGCTCTTGGACCCCGTCCTCGGGTTACTGCGGCTATCGCTGCTGCTTTTACTCTTTGCAGACGCCATGGATGTGGTTTTATACTATGATAGCTAATATTAAGCCTGGAAATAAAGAAAAAAGTTTTAGGAAAACTTCCCAGTGTGATCTTCTTATCCAGGGTCACTGTGTTACTGTGTTTTATCTGAGGGTTTTGGAGTACACAAGATAAAGATATAAGCTCATGTAGACTTATGTATATTGATTGACTAATGCCATATATTTCTACTTGAAACCCATGTGACTGAATATATACCACAGTTTCTATGTTATAATAAGTAGACCTAAACCAAAAGCAGTATAAGAAGCAGGCTATCACTGTCATAAACAGTACACCGGTATATGAATGGAAGCTTGTAACAACTGTTGTAAGAACTATATGATGTTATATACTCTAAGCCGATCTCTTACCGTGGATGCCATGGCCATCAAATTCTTCATATCCAGCTATGTAGGGAAATTTCTATTCTCATCCTTGAAGTTGTTTTTCCCAAAATTTCTTTACCGGGACCTTCGTCTACTTTGTAACTGAGGTCCAAGTTCTTTCATACCACAAAGTTTGCCCCAGCGCGTTCCACCCTGACCCCGTTTCCAAGGCGTTCAGAGCAGTTAAACTATCCGATTTCCATTCAGCGGCCCTAACGCTGTTGTAGCTGTGCGTTAAAAGTTGAAATTACACCCCTCAGCGATTTTCAACACAACCAAAAATAACAACAAACATTGTGCTTTCGTGGGTGCATTGAGAGGTACAATAACACATAAACTTTCGCATATAATTTCCCCGACTCCTGAGGCATCTAGCGGAGATATGAAACACTATTCTGACATCTAGCAGCAGTTGATTTTAACGCTGTGGATTGTACACAATTTCTCTCGGGTCCACACATGCAGAGTCAATTCATCACTCTGTTATCATAAATTATAAGGGAAGGATATATAAAGATATGCACTTGATGCAACTGGTTTAAAAATCAATATTTGTCACCACGCACCTGCGATATTTCTGTAACCTGCCGTAACCTTTCATAAAGAAAATCGATCAACATTTAATTTTATAGATTTATATTACGATGTAGTCAATAGCACATGGGTTGCTCATCTCCGGCGCAGCTGATTGACCATTGACAAACTGCCACTGACAAGTAAACGTTATTTTAAAAAACGTGTCTATTGCCGTGTGTCGGCTTTCAAATAGTCCATAAATGTAATACAGTTCTTATTGCAATTCATTCATCAAATTATAATTCTGGTTCGTCTCCAGCCGAGGCTAATGTTGTTGTCTCTCGTCAAATGGTACTTCTAATCAGGCGTGGGTGGGTTTTCATGTAGATGATGACATGTTTTGGATAACTTTTAAAAAGTATCCGCCTGTATCTATAGAACACATAACAAACTATTTATTTTTTAATGTCCCTTAGCCTTTTTTTCAGTACAAGACTTTTCGTGTAAGCAAATTGGAAATATTTCAACTCTACAAGTAATAGAAAAGTCTAAAAGAACTTCCCTTTTCAGAGTAGCTTGTCAGGTTTCAATGTTTATTTCAGACGCTCGCTCCCTCTCCCCAAGAAAAGGTGTTTTTAAAAAATCAATTTCCCAATAGTACAGATACCGTTAAATGATTTTTGCTTCGATCAATGTAAATATTACCACTGACATATACCAGTTTGTTTGTACTGTACACATAGATCGAGTAGATGAGTACAAAAAGTACTCCAGCTGATCTGACGTACCGGGTATCTTCTCTATTGGACTTTGTGTTGTGTCCTAATCTCAACTAACACATCAAGACAGCGCATTCCAATTTGATGTTCATAATTTTGATGAAAATATCTGTCATTAGTCAAATAAGAAAAAAGAAAAGAAAACGAATACTTCACACATCGAAAAACAAATAATTTTCAGACTGCATTCCAATAACTAAACAGATAAATAGAATTGTTAAGAAACGCCGCCCTCCACTGACTGAGCAAGCGTTATTTGGACTTGGACCATTTCATGCGGCAGAAGTTGCCAAAAAATGTACGAAGTTTCAAACCACCCCTTTTTCGTTCCGGCAGACGTTCAGGTATGCACTGTGGCATTGTTGACCTTGTAAGACATCTTAAGCCCAATTCAGAATAGGGGACTAACTAGTCCGAGGGTCAAATATGGCGGACCTACTTGAATATCTTCCCCACGGGATATCTATTCAGTATCTATTAGCAGATTAGACGGCAAGCTTTGTAGTGGATAGCAATATTTGACCCTCGGACTAGTTAGTCCCCTATTCTGAATTATAGACTCATCTTCAATGACTAAACAAGAAGGATACTATATGAAGCCAGTAAAGACGGCTTGATGGTAATGGTACCGGTGCATACCTACCATGGTCTACGATGGGCTGTACATCCCACTGTTTCCAGCTCCCATAAGACCAGGTTTTTCTCTATTAAAGGATACCTACAATGTTATGATATCTTAGACCCATTTTAATCGGGAATACTTTTTTGTCCGACGATGAAATTGACCAAAACGTCGATTTTTTTATCCCTCACATTTTCTGAAGACGTTCTTATGGGATCGACTCTGATAGAACTGAGCTAGATTACATGTAAAGTCAAGCACTTCAGGAGAAATAGTCACTAAAATCGTCCAAACAACGGTCTCAAAGGAGTCTGCCACTGCTCTCCGACGATGGAACACAGACGGCAAATACAGGAGGCTCAGTGGTTCAAACATTCCTAGGGTCCACTGACGTGTCCACAATCCCCCTCTCCCCAACAGTAAATGTGTAGTTTGCTGAAGCATTACACATTGAGACGCAAATTTCTGGCTTTGGTGACCACTGAGCGTCCTGCCCATATTCGTATTGATATTATGGTTGTACAGGAAGGTCGCAAAGGTCTCTAATCTGTGTAAAGGCGCCTGAGACATGCTGACAAATCAAACCGCATTTATCATAACCCGTAAGTCCATTTCAATAGATTGACAATCCACTTTATTACGTGTTGTGTTCAGCAACCTCGAACAATAGACCGATGACATACTAGGCAAAAATGTTCGTTTATATATGTGCGCTTAGAATTATTTTAAGTGATTGCTTACATTGCCAAAAATATTCTATTGCCAATATTCTTGACCGTATTTTAAGTTGCAAATAATATTCAAATTGTAAAGGGATAAATATAAATTTTTACTACCAAGTATGGAGTAAATGAGGTGTATTATTTCAAACATTTTGTGACTACTTATTGGGTGAATCACCCTCGTTTTGATATTGCATCCATTCTGACTTACAAACAAGCGCATGCATTGGCCACCATATCGGGGATTCTCTTTAGAATTAAATCATCATCATTGTCAAAGTACAGTACACTTATGTAACTGTAGGACACTGGCACGCAATGTGACGTGGTGTACCTATCCGAGCCTGACGTCATCCTCTGATACATGGCTTTCACAAAGGCGTGATTGCTGCCATTGACAGAGGAAGCCGGCAACAGAGGAGCTGAACAGGAACCAGCGCAGTAATTGGCAGTGTAACCTTTGGGACTCAGGATAAAAGTATCCCAGTGCATGTCAGCAAAACTGACGTACCATGAGTGAAGCTTGCAGGCCGTCGCAAGGATCGAAGGATCCAGCTCCCTGTCTGCTCTCGGCATTAGCTCCGGGATCGCGCGCTTCTGTCTGGTACCTGGCTGGTGTTTGTTGGTATCGTCCTGATCGCCATCTGGCGGAGTCTGCACTACTAACAGGGGCGCTTCCTCGGCCCTAGCAACCTCACAGTCATCACATTCCTCATCAATTTGCAGACCTTTTACATACAGAACAACTGAGGAGTCAGTATGGTTAATGTACCTCCTTGCGTTTGCTGGCATTTTCAAAACGACAAAAGAACGCGGTTTCGGCGTACCCACAGTAACAGTCTCTCGAAGCACGGCGTCTCCGTTCACTGTCACGGTGCCCTGTGAGTTGTAAAAGGCAGGCAGCACCAACTGGACAGACGTGATCTCAGAGCTGGACGGCCATGAGTGGGGGTTGAACCGGAACACTGGTGTCCTGGCTGAAACAACAAAGGACAATGTGCTATGAGGCCTAGCTAACGCTATTCCAGTATCTTTTTTTAATTCTTGTTCTTATACAGGAAGTATGAGAACAAGAACAAGTGCAAGATTTCAGTATATATTTTTTAATTTTTAATTCAAATTTCAGAAAACATTTATCTTCTTTTATAAAAAAGTTTTTCTTAATAGAGGGTACCGGAGGAGACAGGATTGTACCGGATGTGACGTGTAGTGGTTTAAGACGTGAAGCTGAGTGGTCATTTTTAGCTGGAGGTGAACGGGAGTGAAGATGTGGGCTCAGAGAAAAAAGCAGTTTTTTCCAACAACATAGTGAGATAACATTTTTTATGGCATTTTTCGCAGAAAATACTTGTAGAAATAATAGGTACATCACACATGATATGAAAACGTGTTACGATACTTGGAGGTTCAAAATCGTGCTTAATTTGCAGTCAATTTGAAATATATGCTGCATCGACCGACAGAGCGACAAAGAACGCCAGGGAAAAAGAATTCCCGCGAGGCTGTAAATCGTTGTAATGTGGAATTTTTGCATGATGTAATCTGATATGCCCATATCTAATTATTTTTGGGCGTTTTATGGTTTGTGGTGCAAGTAGAACGTTGTTTTAGAGTCTTTGAAGGACCTTAATTGTGAAAACCAGGAAGTAGTTAGCAACTGACAACTGAATCGCACCGAAGCACGCTCGCTTTGCAGTGATTTATCTTTTTTAAAGATAGTGACGAGTTTCTAGATGTTGATATGTTCAGCTGACATGATGTTCAGATGCAATGATATATCTTTTTTTTTAATATTGTGACGAGCTTTAAGATGGTTATGTGTCCAGTTGGCGTCAAATTCCAAATATAATATCACACTAATACACTTATTACACCGAGGTATTCACTAATCAGTGACAAATGCCATGGAAAAAGGTGACATTCTGATAGCCTCTTACCTGAGCTAGGATCACAACCGTAGGAGATTGGCAATCTATTGCCTCAGGCTGTCAATCAATAGCCTTGAGAAACTGGTCAGGTTGGATCCTATCTACCTGTCAGAAGCAATTTACAACTGAGTATTGCATAAAATCGTCAATCAGTGGCCTGGACATTATTAGTAGCTTAAGCTAATCTTTATTACCTGTCAGTTTTGTGTTCAGCTCACCTAATATTATGACAATATCATATATATACTCGTCACAATATTTAGAAAAAGATATATCTTTGCACAGCGATCGTGGTTCGGTGCGATTCAGTTGTCAGTTGCTAACTACTTCCTGGTTTTTACAAGGACTCTAACATATCGTTATAATTGGAAAACATACCATAAAAGTTATGGGCATATCAGATTACATACATGCAAAAATTGCACATTACAACGATTTACAGCCTAGCGGGAATTCTTTTCCCTTAACTCTCTTTGTCGCGCTGTCTCAAACTGACAGAATCTTGTTTCAAAACAAATTGACTGCAAATGAAGCACGGTTTTGCACCTTCAGGATTTGTTACACGTTTTCATATCATGTACCTACTATTTCTGCAATTTAGCAGTAACATTAACCCCCTAGGAGATAGATCGATCCCAAGTTAGTACGATAGTGTCTAGGAATGGTTCCTTTCAAAGCATTACAAAGCATAACAAAACTATAGGTAGCACTGTTGTGCAAAAGAATGTAATTCTACATAACTTAAGGTTCCGATTTCTTGCTTGATTTTACACTATGTCGCGATACTGTGGGCTATCTCGCATGGTTCCCAATGGGTTTAAAGCAGACAAGTTTGCCGAACTTAGAACTGCCTTCAGATATGCCTAGTGTATGGCTGCTACCAGTAACAACGCAGATCTAATTAAGGCTACATTGATATTCGATTTTTAATCTCAACATGTTCATTAGTCTTGTAGTCACAATTAAGACTGGTACCGGTCCGTAAACATATCAACGAACAAAATAGCAACTTCCGGGGATAAAATGCTTTTTAGGGACCTAAATTTGGTTCAAACTTTTAAAACTAAATTTTAGTCTACCCTGACCCATGACAAATATTGCGTCTTAACAGGAAGAGCCCGGATGATGTTTTAGACCAATAGGTACTTTATTCAAGTAGACAACTACGTTATTATTTCAAAGTTTAACAAATTTTTGTGGTAAAGTTTAAACCAATTAAGGTTCTTTTGTGGAGCCATGCGCAGGTGTAGGAGCCACTTAAAGTCGACTAGGAAGTTGGGCCGATTGAGATGTCTCGGACCCAATTTAATGTGGCACATTTGTCATTGTGCAAGAGGATGGGGACACTCAATATAGCGTATCATTCCCAGAATTACGATTGTGTCACTTTACATCTTATGGAACTCAGACAAGTGAAAGGGGAAAGGAAAAAAAGGCAAAATGCCTTCTTTTATGTTCTGACGTCCCAACAGCTGGTCTATATCGTTAGATCAACTAAATATTACATGGCCTGTGGATTTTATGTAACTTTTATCGGAAAAAAGGAAGTCCTCCGTTATTTTTTCTTTGATGTATATCTAGCCCTTGAAAGAATTCTTGAGTCAAGTTCAATACCCGAAGAAACCTTTTTGCAACATAATTGAAGAAGTCGGTGCGCAGAGCATTTCATATCTGAATTGAAGACTGTAATTTTAAATTTTTTTACTGTTGTTGTATTTGATGTGTGTTTTTCTTGAATAAACGGACATTTTTATCTATACACAACAAACAGAAGGTCCCTATGACTGTATATATTTCAGAGATAATCCTGGAAAAGCTTCTGTCAGTTCCTCTTTTCAAGCGAAATTGGCCGTAAAACTAGTTTGAAGTGGACAAATGCCTCCGTTGATACCAGCACGTAGCACCAATGGAGTGCATTAAATAAAATTTAACAAGACAGAAAAACGTTTAACTAAAATCGCGCATTCCACACAATCCATGACAAACGAGTGTAATTTCTTGACCTACCTTGCTTAAATTGGTCTAGCATACACAATTTGTTTTTAAGTGTCAGTAACTCTGTTAGATATAAACATTTTTTCGGTGTAAAAGATATATTCAAAAGCGGTAATCGCGATAATACATTCTTTCTTCCTTGAATTCTCCATTATTATCCCACGGTCGGTGCTTTGAACAAGAGGGTAATTGCAGTTGTACCACTATAGTTACAACACGAGCCGTCCACGGCATGCGTCATACAAAATCTTAATTATGTCTAGGCACAGCCGAGATATAATGGGCCTTTTGCAGCTAGATGACTAGATGTTGGCTTATTTTGTTTTCATTTCCTTCAATATTTTGGATTTGTGTTTAAAAAAACATAACTAGCGCCCAAATGTCTATGAAAAAAACAGAATTAAACTTGTTCCCAGCAAAGTAGTCCAACTAAGGTGCACATTATTTTATTAAAGGATTGTAGCCTCTACATGTACGTTTTTAAAATATTCCTGCGAAATTTTAAACACTTAGCTTCAGTTTGTTTCCACGTACACATCCTTTGTACCATCACAAGGTTATGAAAATAGATTTTAAAATCTCTTCTAGGAAGTTACTTTCATATGCAAAAACGGCTCATTTGAACTCGCCGCTTAATAAAACTTTTTTCCAACTGAAGCTCCGTTTTCTTGGTATTGTTATATGTAGTCGAGTTACAAGAGCATGTGATCAATTTTTGTGTATCGTAGGCATTGTCTAATAAATTGACGAGAGGCCAGCTTCAGTGGCGGATTTAGAGGGGTGTCCAGGGGGGTCATGGCCCCTCGCCCTTCGATTTCTGAAAAAAATCACATCAAAGGTCCCCTCTTCAAATAAGAATTATAGTTCTAAACCGTACCAAATGGCACCGTTGGCCCTTTAAAATACCAACATTTTTCGGGGCCCTTCAGCGGGCCCCAAACCCCATGGTTTTTTGATGGCACTTTTGTCATGTAGGCCTCTATTGCTGAACAGCATATCACCCAAATCGAAAATAGAGGTGCATTTCACAAGCAGAAGTTTTATAATATTCAGTGAAAAACAAATTAAAATTGCGCAAAAATAATTAATCGTTCTTTACGAATTAAAATTATTATTATTATTTTTTTTACAACGCTATATTTGTGGGAAATACGTAGCCTACGTTCCTTTTTACGGTTAGACGATGAATTATTTTTGTTCTCCATGGTTCCAGGAAAGTGAAACTTTGATATTAACTTATTTATGTGGGACCCTTAAATTATCAAACAGTTTCTTATCCCTGCACTAAATATTTTAAGGAGCGTGACGTTATTTGCACCTCTATATTATCTTAAAATTCAATATCCACAAGCAAAAGAAAGTTCTTACATATCTTATGGCCTATTTTGTCAAATCTAGATCTTATAAATGTTCCTTATTGCCTTTGTGTACTAGATAAGTGCTTATCTCTTACCTGCCACTGATCTAAAACTCTGCACAGTTGAACTGGGAATTCTCCCGTTTTCCATTTCTTCATAAAGAAATTTCATGAACATATGGGGCGCCCTGCTTGCGGAATTTCGGGGATTTAAGGTATCTACACCTATACCTAGTCTTCGGGCGACACTTTCTGCATATGGGCCTCCAAAGTTCCCGGCTACTGTATCGCTTACCAAGAGAAGCATGGCGGAAAATACTATTCCAGAAACCATTGCTGCACCACGCCGACGGCTGACTAGGTAATCTGATTTTTTTGGTAACGAGCGACATTTATTTCAAGATTTTGGATTATTCCATTAATTATATACGAAGCAGGTCCCCATTCAAGTGAAATGGCATTCAATGGCATTCTGGAACGGGTTTGTGCAGATTCCCGCCGCGCACGCGTATAGGTACATCTTAATTGTGCACGTTGATGGAGGTTGGCGGCATTTTTTAAAAGTGCCTTGCAATGATTATCTAAAAAACAAACCTGTGTGCGCACATCCACACCAACACGCGCGCATTTATAGGCCTACCGCAGGGCAGATCATACCAATCTAGTTCCTGGCCTACTCGGTTGGTTTTTATTACAGCCATATCGGACCATAGGCCACATCATGCAGTTAGACAGAATCGTAAATTAAGCAAGCCATAATTAAATGCTGTTTTATAATCTTCATAAGGGATTTTAGTCAATAGGCTATAAAAAATATCATCATAAAAATAAATGTTGTTTAAAAAAGACAAGACGATATTAAAAATATACCGAGCCAGCAAAATTGCACAGTAAGGATGATCATGCAAAAGGCATAACTTGTCTGTTTGCAGTTAGACTCATCATTCAGTTGGCCTAAGGTAGGCCAAAGCGCCGCGGATGACCTATTTAATATGTAGGTCGCTGGCTCGCAAATATATGTGGCACGTGACGTCACGTTAGATGACAACAACATCATGGCCGCGTCTGCGCTGGAGTGGGTCCCTGATTCTCTGTTTAATACTGCGATCTCGATTGTTGTTAAGCATTATTCTAAGTTTAGAAGGGAATTAAAAACCTTACCAGAAAATGTACAGTTTGATGTTTATTATAAGGTAAGTAGTTTGCTAAAAATGGAAATTATATTGGCTATCTGAGGGAAATGCTAGTCTTTTTCTCCTAGCGTGCTTTACAAAAACTAAAATCCTTAACATTGTCATTCAGTAACTAAATGTGAACATAAGTACAGCTGCTAAAAATTATTACCTTAATTCAGATGCCATAAGACTAAGTTCTTTGTGAGCCTGAAAATTAAACCAAACCAATTGTTACATTCTCGTAGAGTTGATATGTTATTCCTCCACATTTTGAATTTAATTAGGGCGTAATACGGCTCGTTTATACTGATAATTAGATGTAAAGGCAGTTAAATGTTTTGCCAGAATACTTTTGAAGACATTTACATAAGTCCGTTTTTACAGGTCACTCTAATACCTAAGTAGTGATTTCAAATCACCCATAGACTATTAGTAATCTTTTTAGAAATAGATAACTGTATGCTATTTCATATGGATTTAAAATTTTCATTTTAATGGTCATCATTGAGAATGTTGGTACCAATTAGAAAAATAAATGGAATTTGTTTTGTAAATAATCTGATCCATTCCAAAGACAGTTACTGATAAATATTCATCAGATTAATTTAGTCACAGTCTCAGGCCTACCCAACTACCAGACTGGGCCCTGAATGATCCCAATTTACCGGTAGATCAGATCACACTACCCATTTTCAAAGTGTGTGTCAGTTCGCATTTCACAGTATCATACCTGGGAACAAAATTTGAGATGAAATGCACTACTTTCCAACCCCCACTACGGATCATCACTATGCACATATCGCTTACTAGGCAACAGTGGTGTTGCATCTGATACTTCGAAGTGAAAACAGGTAGTGAGGCCTGATCTGCCCATGAATTCATGATCATTCGGTGTCGAGCCTGGTAGTTGGGTAGGCCTGAGTCTTGAGGTTGGTTGCAAGATATATCTCCCTATTCTGAGGATGATATTAACTATGTTGAAGTCTAGCCATCTCTTTTGCTAAAACTAACACAATATTCTGATTTAAGTTGTACAGCAAGGGTCGGTTATGTCAACTTGGATTGGAATTCTCAGAACTGGACATATTTGCTGGTGTTTTGAAAGTAAATGACAAAAGGTGAGAAGTGTGGATTTTTTTTTTTTTTTTTTTTTTTTTTTTTTGAGTGTGTGCTTTCTGTAGTCAAAACCATGTTTTTATTTAAGTCAAAACCTAACTTTCCAGCCCAAACTAGAGATTATGATTAGTTGTAGAATTAGTCAATCAGTTTAGGCTATTTTAATACATATTTTGCATAATAGTATTAGACTAGACAACCATGGGTGTGGCCTTGGTAGAGTAAACTGTATACTATGCCATGTCTTTAAATTGTCAGTCAAAATTGTGTTAAGTGTTTAAGAATCATTACTAGTGAGAGTATAGCTGTGTACATTCCCAGTATCACACAAGAATTATTACTACCAGTTTCTTCCAGAAGTCGAATAAAATCCACATGCCAATTATTTAACATGTCTACTTAAAGTGGATTAAGATAATGTAGTGATTGTATTTGGTATGTATCAATGTTTAAATGTTAAAATTACTATGACCTATAATCACAGACTGTATACCACAGATAAGAAAAACATGGTGTTATCATGTTAGCATACAACATTAACCAGTAACCTTGATACGTGATGGCATAAGTAAAACATGGTTTCTTACATAATCTAAAGGTGTTTATCATCCATTGCCATTAAAGTTCTTATTTACAACAATATTGACAATAAAATCAAAACGGCTCTTTTTGCAAGTAATTTCACAGAGAAGGTTGTTTCTAACATTGCAGACACTTGCTTCATCATTGTTTCCAAGCCCTGATGGATCATGGAGTAAGAACCTCAGAGACATTGTGTGATGCTTACAGACAGATGTGCTGTGTTAGGAACCATGCAGAGCCTTTTATAAGAGATAAAACACTCAAGCTGGGTCTCTTACTGGGTATGTAGACTGAAATTCACTGGGAATAAAACCCTATCGAGTTTTTATTTATGTCACACATTTTTGCAGTTATGATTTGACAATCTTATTGTGATAAATTATCCAAGAAAATAGGCTTTTTTTTAATTAAATCAAACACATTTTATTTGGTTATTCAGGCTTTGTTTTTGACTAGAGGTAAATATATTCATTTGAAGAAGTAAAAAAAAAATGATTGTGCAAGATTTGAGGTGCTGAAGCTCGTAATTATTAATTGTTCATTTGTGCCAACTTAGGTGGATTTCTCAGTGAAGCGGGCTGGTTTGTGGACAGTGAGAACGTAATACTATCTTGCCTTCAGATGTGTAAACAGCGTGAGGACACCAAGCACTGGTATAAGGCTTTAGAATGCTGTGTCAGGTTAGGACTTGATCTTTGATGATTGTTATGTCTTTTTGCAGAGCAGGCAGATCTTTGAAGGCCAAGTTTTTAATATTAAGGGTTCCTTGCAGCAATTGCTGCTTAATTAAGTTTTCTATTTTTTTAAAGTAACTTTATGATAAGGACATAGGGTAACCAATGCAACATGTAATTGAACATTCTGGGTGCTCTTAATTTTAATTTATATCAGCTAAAATTGTATGTTATCTTTCTTCAGGTTGATGCACATTCGCAATGCTAACTGTAAATATGTTGAGGCAGAGCAGATCTATGTTGAAGCACGTACATACCTGGACAAGTTGTCTGAGAAAGGAATACAAGTTAACAAGTCTGCTCTTCACACTGAGATATGTGCACTCTTGTTTGCCAAAAGTCAGTATGACGAGGTATGTTTTATATGATTTTCTCATTTTATACACCCACTCATGCACACACAACAAAAACCTTGCTTCCATTGGTGCTATTTTGTGTATTTTGTATTTATGCTGCTGGGCATGGAATTCAAGGCTTTGCTGAAAAGTAAATGCCACTGCAAGATGTCATGTGTGAACCTTCGTGAAAAAGAGTTTTGATTACTCAATCAGAATAGCTGAATACGGATTTTAAAAACCATATTATGAAATGGTAGACCTTAAAGTAATTCTAGACTGCATTCTGTGGTTTCTGTTTCTAAGGAATGACTTGCTTTTTTATGGATTCACATTTTACATATTGTATTTTAGGCTTACCATAATGCCATGCTTGCCTTGAAGGAACTTAACTCGTCTCTACCTGCAAAGGTATGCTGTGGGAGAAGTTGATTATGATTTAGTGTCATAGTAAATAAATTAATGTAAATTCTTTGAATAGAATTAAATACCTTGCCAGAAAATGTACAGTTTGACATTTATTTTATGGTAAGTAGTTGATAAAGCAGTTAAAATGATGTACCGGAAAGGCATGTTTCTGTAACATGTCCCTAAACTTTTATTGTAATTGCATTCTTGTTTTTATAACATTTTGGAAGGTAGAACTAGTGGGTTTCATTGTTTTTCTTCATCTCCTTTCAGACCATTGTAGATGTGTTGAGACAGTCTGCTAAGGTAAGTTTTATGAATATTGATACTGAGGCAGAAAGGCACAGAAATAATGTCCCTTCTGCATCAGTATAGGATTCAGTTTGGACAACTGTAGGATGATTTCTTTAGTAGCAACTCTTTGTGATAAAATTTTGATTTGTCACTGGAGTTTGAAAGTAACAAAGAAGTTATTTATTTCTTGATACCAGGACTAAGTGCTTAATTCTTCCATATATGTTTATTGCCATTAGGGCATGAGTTTGTCTTTAAGCAGTTTTTATCAGGCAACAGGACTTCACTTGTAAATTTTTTATTAAAGTTTGTATTGGATAATCTAGCATAATTATGAAAAACAAATTTAACTTTTGTACTTTCAGGCATGTGTTGTAAAAAGAGAGTTTAAGAAGGCAGAGTTGCTTGTGAAACATGCAGTTTACTTTGCCAAAGAGTTCTTTGGAACCAAACATCCAAAATATTCTGATGCTTTGTTAGATTATGGTTTCTACTTGCTTAATGTGGATTCTATTTGTCAAGCTGTTCAGGTTTATCAGGTAAATGATATAGACTTATTCTGGCAGGTTTTCTTCTTGTTATTATTTTTATTTATTTATTTATTTATTTATTTTTGCCTTAATAGTATCTTGGATACATTAAAAATAAAAAATGATTACTTTAATTGAAGTGAAAGAAAATACTTGATGAAAAATTATAACGAATTAATGGGTAATAATGTACTAAAATTCAGGCTGCTTTGGACATTCGTCAGTCGGTATTTGGTGGAAACAACTTGCATGTGGCAGTGGCACATGAGGACTTGGCCTATGCTACATATGTACACGAATACAGCTCAGGAAAGTTCAGTGATGCCAGGTAAGTCTAGGAACTGATTTTCAGCACTGCATGTCTTGGGCAACTTTTTCAAACATTTTTGAGTTAGGCTTTTTGCGAACAAAGCCAAAAACATAACCTACTTAGTAGAGAAAATGATCTTGTCTGCCTTCATTGTAAAATGTTTTTTGGTTTTCTTTTGTGTCTTGCAGGTATCTTTATAAATTTAATGTGAATTTATATTATTTTTATGTACAGACACAGATGTGTCTGTACATATTGCCATATTAAAAGTNAACTTGAACTCCCATGGGCCTGAAGCCTTATGCTTGTTACACATTTTACTTACATTGGTATTACCTGTTGAGCATAATTAAAATTTGAAGTTGAATTTGCAGTTTAACATAATGTACTTTTGCATCAGAATTGACAGTAGCCTATTTTGTTATTTCCTGCTTTTTGTCTGTACATTTGACAGCTTTGCTGCCTTGTTTTTTTATATTATTTTTTACCCACAGCATATTCATGCACCATTGTCTTGTCCATTGTATATGTTTTTATTTATTGTGATCTTAATTATTTTATTAGGGAGCATGCAGAAAAAGCCATCAAGATCATCACCAGTATATTGCCTGAAGACCACTTGCTACTCGCATCTTCAAAGAGGGTAAAAGGTAAATTAGAGTCATGGCTTTGCTACAAGTTAAAGTGAATTTTCGACATAAACTTGGCTTACTGAGTTCAGTGGAATGTTTTGCCAACCAAAATGTACTAATGCTATCTTCTGAAAATGCCAGAGCAAGTGATGTATAATGTATAGCTACAATAAAGTGTCCTTGGTTTACTTTGTGCCCAGCACTGATATTGGAAGAGATAGCCATAGACAGTCATAACAAGGAGATAGAAGAGAGACTGTTACAAGAATCACAGGACTTACACCTGGCATCTTTAGCACTGGCTAAGAAGGCATTTGGAGAGAATAATGTACAGACAGCTAAACACTATGGAAACCTCGGTAGATTGTACCAGTCCATGCATAGATATCAGGTTGGGTGACATTTTGGAAAACAGAATATATTGGATATTTTTAAAAGAAGAGTCACATTAATGTTTTTACTTTATTATATTTCATTTTACTGTCTCAAAAACCTTTGATATAGTAGGTCTAGAGAGAGAGAGTGAGAGAGAGTGTGTGTGTGTGTGTGTGTGTATTTTCCATGTCAGAAAAAGGCATGCGTATGTATACAACCATTTTACCATCATCTTCTCAGGAGGCAGAAGAAATGCACCAGAAAGCCATAGAGATAAAGGAGCGTTTGCTGGGCAGTGAAGACTATGAGGTGGCCCTGTCTGTGGGCCATCTGGCCTCTCTCTACAACTATGATATGAAGAAATATCCTGAGGCAGAACAGCTGTACCTGAGGTCTATAGCTGTGGGTCAGTAGAATAGACTGGTCTTCTTTGGCTTTAGTAGATTGAATTAAAGTAAACTGAGAAATCTGACCTTTATATTAGAAAGCTATAAAACCAGTGCATACCCATCTTGCTTGTATGGATAGCGAGTCTTTACATTTCATGCCTAACATATATCGCACATTTGTTGAGAAGTTGCTTATAATAAGAAGTTAACAGTAGACTAAATGATTTTGTACATTTTCACACAAAATTAAAAAAAAAGTTTTATTTAGAATACCACATTAATAAGTTAGTTTACATCTGTTCACATGCCTTTCAGGTAAGAAGCTGTTTGGTTCAGGTTACAGTGGACTGGAATATGATTACCGTGGACTGCTAAGGTTATATCATTCCCTAGGGGATACACTGAAATCAGTGGAATACAGTCTCATTCTACAGGAGTGGAACCAGATACGAGATCGTACAAATCAGGAGGAAATCAAACCCTTGGACTTTGAGAGGCCTTTAGAAGACACCACACTTCTAGTGAAGAAATTCTTTGAGCTGTGAATGTGGTATCTTAACTGTGTTTGATGCTTCGTATTGTGTTTGACAGCTTTCATGTGCAATAGGAAGATCATCTTTTGAAGTGCATTGCAATATGAACTGCCCGTTTCATAAAAGTTCTGTATACCAGGTAATAATTCCCTATGGTGGTTTCCTTTGTCCATACTTTATAGCTTGGATTTAAGGGTTTGATTAAAGGTTTTATGATCAGTGGATACACAAGTTCAGCAAAAAAAAAAGTGTTTCTTCATAGGACATTCTTTTTGGAATACTGGGGTTCTGGCTTACCTGACCTTGAACATGTCATTTCTTATGAAATATTTACAGTCATAAGAAAATGATAATCAGACATACTGAAGATAAAACATTGCAGTTTGATT